AAATAAATTTACAAAATCATTTCAATTTTTTTTTATTCATTTATTCAGAAGTGCTGTTCAGGAAAAGTTGTGGGATTTTGTTGTTGTTGTTACTGAAGTAACCAAGCCAAATATGACCTCTGTAAGAGATAACTAGAAGAGAGAAGTTTTGTCCTTTCATGGTATTATTGCAGTTCATAAATACAACCATTGCTGTGTTTTAATTCTTCTTAGCAGTACTATTTTTTGTCTTATTTCTAAGTCAGTTGTTCTAAATATGTTTGCATCTGTTTCTTGTGTAGACTGAAAAGCTAACTAAGAGAGAAGTGGAAGCCAAATTCTGTAATCTCTCTCTCTCATCAAGTAGTGTAAGTAATTTTATTTCAATATCAATTTCCCTGTAGCTTGGCAAAAAGCAGTAGTATTTTATTTGCTTTGAAGTTTACTTAACCACATTAAGAAATATGAACTGTTCTAACTGCTGTCCCAAAATAGATCTTTTCTCTTCGGAAGTGGCATGACTTTGTTCTCTCTGTACACTCATATTGATGCATTCCAAATTTTTCTCGTCTTAAATGTGTTTTTCATACCTTGCAAGTAATTAAAGACTAAATGAAATATTGTGCAGTGATATTTAGTAAAACTTTTTTTTTCAGCTTTCTCGACTCTACAAATTTATTGAGCAAAAGGGAGAGCCAAGTAACGTATTTCCATTTTTAAACACAATGATTAAACAAAAAACGGGTGTCACTCAGCTCTTGAAGCATGGCATGAAGGATCTAGAGGAAATCATTGGTCTGTTAAAGCAGCTTGGAATAAAACTTCAGGTTTGTAAGATATTCTGCTAATAATTGCTTGATTTATAGATGACTGGATCTTGTCATTTGTCAGGAAACAAATTACTGATTTTTTTTAAATTAAAAAAAATCAAAATGTGTTTTGACGACAAGTAATAATAATAGTATTGATTTTTAGAAACACATTTTCAGAATGAGAGCTCTCCATGTCAGAAGTCTCCAGCTTAATTTTCATTTAATTGTTACACATAGAATGTTTTTGGTCAAGATGAAATGTGTTACCCAGAACATAAAGGATTTTAAAATTTTGAAATAACCTATAAATATTTTCAACGGTGGGGAAAAAAAAATTCTGATTACTGAGAGTTTTACATAGTTGCAGCCCTTCGCTGGGACTTGCTAATTGGGTTGTATGCTGTAGTTCTCTTGTGATGCTTTAAGTGTAAAGCATTCTTCCCCGATTTTTAATCGTATTTTAAGTTTTTGGTGTTGTCACTGTTTTTATATGTCTTTATGTGAAAGTAGTGTTTTTAATGCATAGTGCTAATGGGAAATGAATGGTACAAGATACATATTTATTTATGTCTTACAGGTTTCGATAAATCTGGGACTAGTTTACAAAATACAGCAGCACAATGGTATTATCTTTCAGTTCATAGCATACATCAAAAGAAGACAAAGAACCGTGCCTGAAATCCTTGCTGCCGGAGGGAGATACGATCATCTGGTGTGTGCTCATCTCTTTTAATGAACTAAAAAAGAATACACAGGATAAAAAAAAAGATATGTTGCAAAGATAACTATATTTGGGGATTTTGTTTTGTTTTGTCTTGCTTTCAGATACCACAATTTAGAGGACCGCAGACAGTAGGACCAGTTCCTTCAGCTGTTGGAGTCAGCATAGCTATAGATAAAATAACAGCGGCTGTTTCCAGCATGGAGGATTCTGTATGTTTTCAGCGTTTGTTCGTTTGTTTCCTACGTTTCCTACCTACATTTCAGTAACCTACTTGTAGCCACAGAAAGGGGAAAAAACCAATGCATAGGCTAGGAGAAAAGTGTCCTGCTTCAGACAGGGGGATGCCATGCTAGGTGTCTAGTTAGTAAGTGTTACTTTGCCCCTACCACTTCTCCCTGCTTTATACAATGATTGAAGGTGGAAGGGACCTTGAGGGAATAGACTGCTCTACATGTCACACAATTTCACTTTGCTGTGGAATGCATATTGTATTTAAACTTTCCTTTATAAGAATAAACTAACCTTGCTAAGCAGAGCAGGAAGAAAAGAAAGGAAAAGCTAGGAAACTTTGCAGCTGACGCTGCATAGATGTCTTTTGTCAGTGGGCAAGGTTCAGCAAAGTGATTACTTTCAAACATGCTTAGGAATATGATGGCTCTAAAAAGAAGTGGATCTAACCCTTTATTTCATATTGATGTGCTTTGAAATACAATAATACATTTATCCTCCTTTGTTATATGGACTGCTTTATATTGAGGGAAAAAAAGAGGTTTGATTGCTAATATTGTTTCCCTTGTTTTTACTTAAGGTGTCTGCCAGCTCCTGTGACCTCCTGGTTGTGAGTGCTGGTCAGATGTCCATGGGTAGAGCTATCAATATCGTTCAGAAGCTCTGGACTGTGGGAATTCCAGCTGAAATAATGTACGACTGGTCCCAGGTACGGCCTTGGCCTACATGTGTTAACTGAAGTATCTTTTCATAACGGTTCCCATTATTATTCTGGTTCAGCTTAAAGTATGTCAGCTGATGACTAGCCAATCCTAACCACTGAACCACCCATTCTGAGTCAGGTTCTGCAGAAGAGACAGTCTGGAGACACTCAGTTGCTTGCTGACTTTTCAGTACTCTTTTGCACACTTTTGATTCCTCTGTTTTGAATCATTCTACTTTACCTACAACTGTCCTGGGTTCTCCTCCTCCTGCAGTTTTTGAGGGGTGAAGATCTGGGCAGTTTTTGCTTTTGTCCAATGCTGCCCTGAAACCTGCTGCCAAGTCAATACAGCAAGCAGCGCTTTAAGTTCTGCACTGAGAGTGGCCTAAGTCAGGCTCAGGCTTACATGAAACCCAACTGGAGTCAGTTTTCATGACAAGGTGTCAGTCGTGCAGGATTGAGCTGTTCCTGGGAGTTGTGGGCAGTGGCGTAGCAATTGTTAGATTGATGTAATATTGTAAATATTTACAGCTGCTT